TCTTCTCCTTGATTCCCCACGGCTTCACCTATAAGCGTCTAGGTTCACTGCATCTGATTAAGATCGAAAATAAAGTTGATTTGTTTTTTTTTTCTTTTGTCACTGTATAAAGTTGATTTGCTAAAGGTCTATGTTTCGACGCTCATGTCTATTTAAGACTAGTAGAAAATGTGTGAACTAAATGATTCGAATCAACTACTAATAAACAATTCTCAAAACAAAAACCACTAACTAACACATCTAGTTGCGTAATGTACAATGGTCTACTGTGGAGATGTCACATTTTCTTGTAGAGACTCTTTCTTATATATTGGTTATGATGCATTTAGCATTGTTTTGATTAAAATATTGTTTCATACAGATGGTGGAATTGAATTGACTTCATGGTAAATCAACGAGTTCTGACTAAAACCCTTAAAAAACGAAAACAATAGTTGAAGATAATTAGTTTTAGTAGTCAAACGAGTTGGGTCATGGGTATTATGGACTCAAAAGCCCATATTATTGTGTGAAACCATTTGGTGGATTAGAGGGATGCTAATTAATGGGCATCTAGTCCGAAACTAACACTAACACATTGGGCTACTAATTAATGGGCATCCAGTATAGGAAGACTGAACCATAACTATTATATTAATGGTTTACTATTCTGGTTTGGTTTATTATTTTGGTTAATAGATGTTGATTGTTAATATTCTTTTTTTTTTTGTAGTAGAAAAGCACGTAACTACGTAAGTGAAATATAACGGTAGATAATATTATAAAATCAAAATGATATTAAAAATTATTACTAATTTGCCCAATTCTTTTGAAAATAGTGCCAGTATTAAATTAATTTAATCTGATAAAAACAATAATATAGTGATACCGAACCAGACATAAACCGGTTCCGACAGACATAAACCGGTTCCGACAAGGGAGCGTGAGTAAAATTGGAGTTATTTCAATAATAGGGTTCCCATAAATCACTTTACTCTTCTTTCTATCCCAAACTTTTCCACAGACAAGAGAAGATCCATCTCTCTCTCTTCTCTTCTCCTCTCTCTCCATTGTTCAAATTGAGCTGTCTTCACTTCCAGTGTCCCATCGAAGAAGAGAAACTAGAATCGTCACCCTAAATGCTTCTTCTCTAGGGTCACTTTACCAATCTCCCAATTCTAGGTATCTCCTTCCTCTTCTTATACCCTTTTTCTCAGTCAAAATTCAGTAAAAAAGATTAAAACTTTCTCTTTGTCTTTAAAATGGGTATCTCGAAAGACTCGTGCTTTCTTCATACATAGTTAACTGATTTTAAGAACTTAGATCTCCCACTGTTTGATATATGTTCTGTCTCTCTTGTTCCTAGAGATAGATCTAATTTGACTCTTGAGCAATCTTGTCTTTTTCTCTATTGATTTAATCTGTCTCCTTGTTCCCCCCTCTCAGGTTTTTGAATTTTTTTTTTGACCACTCGTTTTCTCGTGTTAGATTCACTCTCACCTTTCGTTTTCTTGATTTGACTTGGCCTCATAGAAATATTTTTTTTAAAATTAATTTTATTCACTTCTCCAATAGTTTATTTTTATTCAAAAAACTGTAATGAAAGATTGTTTTTTTTTATGTATAGGTTAATTTTGATAACAACATCAAAGCTTTCTATGGACAAAGCTTCTTCACAAGAATGTCCTTATCCAGGATGTTTCTTCTGTGTAATGAAAGAAGGAAACCCAAACAAACGAAGATCCTGCATCCTCAAATTCTTCCGTGACCTCCCTTCACAAGACGACGATGGTCAAGTCCTCCCAATAAGCGGTCTCTGGAACACAGCAATGGCACACCCTAACGACCCTGAGTTCATAGACCTCGGTATCTTCGAGTGCATGTCCGCTCTCATCTGGAAAGGACTCAAAAACCGTCGCTGGCTATCTCACGACCAGAACATCTACATCCCTTACTACGCAGCTCACATCATCGGTTCCTACACCATGAACATGGAGGAGTTTGCTGAGAGAGCTGTGGAGGCTGGAGTGATCCCACCGCTCGTTGAGCTTTTGAGAGGTAGGCTTACTTGGGTTGAGCAGAGAGTTGCGGTTCGTGCTTTAGGGCATTTAGCTACTTACCAAACAACTTTCTCTGCCGTTGCAAACCATGGTGAGATTCTTGAGTTGGCTATACAGCTTGGGATGAGTTCTTTGGAGATTGTTTATTCTCATTTTTATCAGTATCCGGATCGGAGGTTGAGTTATCATTGTGATTTGCTGACACGTGGCATGGGAGGTGTTGAGATGGAGTCTAGAAAGGCTGAGGAGTGGGCTAGTCAGTTGCAGTGTTGGTCTCTTCAGTTGATAAATTGTTTCGCCTTTAAACCTGAGTTTTTGCCTACTTTGTGTAAGCCTGAGTTTTTAGTGAGTCTTCCTGTTATGTGGGGAGGGCTTGTGAATGAGAATTCTCCAGCTGGGATTGGTTTGCTTAGGACAATCTGTCAGCATAAACTCGGACGTGGACCTGTCTCTTCCTGTTCTGGAATGATGGAGGCGTTGTGTAATATCGCTCGCTCTTCTGATGATTGGCAGTATATGGCTATTGAATGTCTTCTTTGGCTGCTTCAGGATCCGAATACTTCTCACAAAGTGGTTGATAAAGTTGTGCCAACGCTTGTGGATTTAGCTGAGATCACAAATTTGGGAGATCACAAGAAGCTTGGAGATTCCATTGTTAGTGTTCTTCAAGAGTGTAACTCCTCCATGGGGAGCCGTTCAAGGGAGTTGATAGAAGAGACGGTGAGTTCTAGACAGAGACTCAAGTGGGAGAAGAGTATGCCTAAAGAGGATCTTCACATCAAGCAAGCAGCAGCTTTGGTTGTAAAACTCGAAGGAAACTCTCTCTTTTCATCAGGAGACATTGCAGGTGCAGCTGAGAAGTACTCTGAAGCATTGTCTCTATGTCCAATGAGGTCAAAGAAGGAGAGAGTTGTGTTATACAGCAACCGAGCTCAGTGTCATCTCCTGCTTCAACAGCCTCTGGTTGCTATAAGCGACGCCACACGTGCTCTCTCCTTGCACAACCCTGTGAACAGACATGCAAAGAGTCTTTGGAGAAGAGCTCAGGCTTATGATATGTTGGGATTAGCTAAAGAGAGTTTGTTAGATGCCATTCTGTTTATTAATGAGTGTTCTCAGTCCAATGATCCGGATCTCTCCATGAGACAGAACAAGGTTCCTGATTACGCAGAGAGGTTGGTGAAGAAGCAGATGAGAGCTGCTTGGTTGTTTAAAGAAGCGGCGTTGAAGCATGGAGGTGTGCATAGGAAAGGAGAAGAGAGGGAAGTGTATGGTAATGAGAGTGATGATTCTGAGTGGGAGACTGCTAGTGAGAGTGATATTGGAGATGATGGAAGGGATCATATGGGACTTGATGATGATGAGGAAGAGGAAGTTGAAGGCCATGGAGAGAAGTGGAAGAACCGGGATAAATCTGCTGATAAAGCTTCTGCTAAAGGTTAATTATCTGCCGGTTTAGTTGCATGATTATGATTAAACCATTTAGTTAATAGTTTTTTTTTTGGTGCCAAACTCTTATGTGTTTATTCAGGTATGAGGCATGGATACAACATAAAGCTAGCAGAAGAGGAAATGTGAAGAAGACCAATGCAACAAGGTCCTTGAGAGAAGTTGAGAAGAAAAAAATTGTTTGTTTTGTTTTTTCCAGTGATTTTATTTATTTTTGTTTTGGTGTGTATGTAACTAAGAATTATTCAAGAGGATGTGAGTTTCAATTTGTATAAATTACATTCTCTCTTGTGTTAAGAAATGATTTTATTGGGAGATTTGTTGATTTTCTTTGTCAATGATTAGGAGAGATTTTAGATGGAAAAAGCATTTATTTACCTTTTTTTTTGAACAGCAGCATTTATTTACTTTAAACATAGAAACTATATATTCGCATTCAATCCAAGGTGGGTGACACTAAAGAGTAAAATTTTATTGGAGGAAAGAAGATATGTACCACAGCACTATTCATCATGAAAGAAGATATGTACCAAAGCACTATTCATCTTCTACGTCAGGTTTTATTAATGGCCGTCCTTTGGATCTCACCAATGGATACGAACAGGGGATATATTTCAAAATTCAAGTACTTTTGTATTTTTTTTTCTTATATAACGAAAGTCTTATCTTTGTATGCGTACAATTTGATCATGTGAGTTTGTGGCTCATATTTTTGTAGTTTAATCCTTTGAGTCAAACTCCACACTCTTTTTTTTTTTTTTGAAAAAAACTCCACACTCATTTCTACACATGAAATCGGATGGTGTCTAGGCCTAGCATGACATTTTTATTATTTTAAATTTAATCTTGTTGACTCTATTTCGAACCAAACTTTCGGCTATTGGATGGTGTCCCTGAGAAATGTAATACATTATTAGTGTGTGCATTTAATTTCTGTTTTCTTTATGTAAGTGGATAAAGATAATTCTCTATATGGGGATGAGGTGATCATACATATCAAATTATCTCCCAACATTACGAAGAAGAGTCATTATAATTGAATCGACCCTTGGTCCTTAGTAATACTCAAGAGTTTAAGCTAATTAAATACAACCGTCACTAACCTATTATAATATTTAACTGATTACAATGTGGAAAATCTAGTGTAGAATTTCCTCAAACATTCTCCATATATAAATACCTATGATTTATGATTTGACCCATGCACACCTGCATTCTTGATTTGACTAGAAAGTTTCAAGAAATGGGTAGCGTGAGGAATCTTTGTTCTCTTAAATTTGAAGTTAAAATCCTGGAAGCGAGAAACGTAGAGCTCAAGTCATCACCGAGCTCTCTCTTCGTTAGATTCTATCTCCATGCAGGGAGTAACCGTAAGATAGAACTAAACACTTCAGAGATAGGTTCAAAGCCAGACAACGATGTCATGATATGGAACCAGTCGTTCTGTCTGGAGTGCCAAGGCAACGAAACCGCCTTCGAGGAACTGAAGCAAGAAAGCGTTGTTTTCGAGCTAAGGAGAAGGAAAACGACATCGTTTATGAGGAAATGGTCGAGATCAGAGTTGGTGGGTAGAGGAGAGGTTTCTTGGAAATCGGTTATGGAGTCGGATGGGATGGAAATAGAGAGATTTGTTGTGATGGGTGAGATGAAAGATTGTAATTCTAAGCCTCTTATGTTGAAGATAGCTTTAAAACTTCAAGCTTCAAAGTTGGTGAACACTAAGAGAGTGGAAGATCTTTGTGGGTGTAGAGATTGTAACACATGTAATTGCTTAGATTATGAAGCTTTGGTTGTGGCATGTGCGTTAGATGGATTATAGTTTGTAATAAACAAGGTCTAATTCAAAGTAATTTGAATGAGTTGTTATAACCATAAATAATTTTTTTTTATGATTCAAGACCCGAATGAACTGTTGCAATAAAACGATAAAACTAGGGATCAGTTACCAAAGTTAATGACGAATACTTATCAATCATGCAACTGTTTTTTAATGAAGACAATGAAACGATGATGGTATTTCAAGAATGGTCATAACCGAGAAGGGCGAGAAGCATGTCCTTGTAGTCGCCAGAAGTGTCATTAGCAACGGCTCGATCAAGAGGAACACTGTTTCTGCGTAAGTATTCCTCTTTGATCCTTTCCATGTCGACTTCTGCTCGTGTAGTGACCACTCTAGTGAGTGCCCACTCATCTGTTCCCACCTTGTTGATGGCTCGACGTAGAACCTTCTCATAGTACTTCTCTGGATAGGTCAAGCATTTGATCACGGTTTTGAGCAATTGAACATATTCATTTTCTGAATCTTCCTTTAAGTACTTGTTTATAGAACTTCCAAACTTGTCCTTAAAGTGATTGAGCGTTGCTCCGATCTGAGCTTTGCTTCTTGTTGTCAAGATTCTAATGACATCTTCATCAGTGTAAGCCTTCTCAGTAATCTTCTTGTGAAGTGTCTTAGCTTCAGAAGAAGCCAGCTTCATGTTGACCTCATCAGCATTTCCATCGTACCTAAAGGTGCTCACAAGAGGAACCAATAGCTGCATTTTTCAAACGTGGTTAAATCAAAGCAAAAACATATGATTAGAAACTTTAAAATGAGTTCAGATATGGAAGCTGTAGAACATGTATATAGTTTTATGAATACCTTTCGGATGTCTCCAGATGTGTGGTATGCGACATCCTCCTCGAGAGAGGTCTTGTTGCGAGCTTGGTATTCTTGCTTGGCTTTGAAAAACTCAAGGGCAGGTCTAGTACAAGCAATTTCAACAAGAACCAAGTTGTTTTTGGTGAACATCATGGTAGATTCTTTGGCCAAATATGCATCTCTCTCCACTGGCTCAAGAGTCCACAACATCACAGCTCTCTGTTTTCAAGCAAACCATAGTATACTCAGACCAAAATAAGACAGAAATGATAATAGAGATTTTTTGTTTCCTTTTTAACAAACCTCAAAGTCACCGGATAGCTCTTTGTCTAATTCGTTGAGAAGGTTTTTATTGTAGTTAGCTGCATAAACAGCACGGATTAAGCTACGTTGAGCTGCATTTCTATGAGCCAAGATTGATATGATCATCCCCTCGTTGGTTCCCCATCCTTCACCACATCCACACACGCAAAAATAAAGTTAGGAAAATGTCATCAAAGGTCCATGATGTTTAGAGATACTGTCGTCCAAAGTTAATATCTTCATATATACTTATTTCATCGCCAGTTACAAACTGGACGGTTACAAAAACTTTTGTTTTCCATGCATTTTTGTATTTTAAAAATAAAACTAGGATAAGACCCGCGCCTTGCGTGGGATGAAACTATTATTTTTATTATGTTTTTAAAAATGAAACAATAGTTTGGTTTCATTCGGATTAGAGGTGTTCAATCCGAATATCGGGTTTCGGTTTGGCTCGATTTTTTGGTATTTCGATCATTAAAATATAATTACTATTCTAAATCTATATGTACTTCAGTTTGATTTGGTTTATATACCATCGGTTTTCAGTTTATTCAATTTTATAACAAAAACATAATTATTTAGTTTGAGATCATATTATATATTATACAAATATATAATATGATCATATTTATAGTCATATTGTCACAGAGTCATTTATTAAAAAAATATTGTATATTTAAATAAAAGAATAAAAAACAAAAAAAGCTTCTATCATCTAATAAAATGATCAAATCTAGAATTAATATCAAAACACTAAATTTTGAAAATAAAAATAAAAAACAAAACAGAAGCATGAAAGAAAACTTTTTATATTCTTCCATATTTAGTGTTCATCAAACCAATATGTCTTCGATTGAACACAACTCTGTTTGTTTAAATATAAAAAAAGTTGTAAAGAATTTCAACTAATTGTTGTCCATCAAATTTATAATCTTTACTTTAATTTAGTTACTGTTAAAAAAGCAAAAGATCAAAATAAGAAGTCTTAGTTGTAATAAATTGTTAGCTATTTACAAATTATAATTATAGTTCAACTCATGTAACAAATAGATATTCATGCGTCGTTATAAATATATATATTTACATGTTTCAGTTTAATCGATTATAAATCAAACCATATCCAAATCATATGGTTTTATAAAATCACATCCATTCGGTTTG